CACCACCTTCGATTTTCTTAAAATTTGGGTACCCTGTTATACTCTATTTCGGCATTCATTTCTATTAAAAACATGTTGCATCATTGCACTGTGAAAGAAGAAACAACTCCCCAAAGTAGGGTCCTTTTTCAAAGCCTACACTTAGCAGTGTCCTATACAAAAGTGACTCTGAGTTCCAGTTTCATGAAACTTGCACAAATCTTTTATATACATTTATTCAAATGAGGTCATTGATAGAAAGAGCGATCGGTCACACAGTAAAAGGGAGGAGAAACTATATACAGCATTTTACATAAGCGTACAAAGTGGTATCATATTATAGACTAATGATTTGAGAAAAGATGATGCAGTGTGAAGTTGTACCTTCCGGTATATTTTACATCTAGAGTAAAATAAATGACTTTACTTCCACACACAAAAACAAAGATATAATAGTAAGATATTTAGGTTGGCTGTGTATTTACGATTACAAACAATTTCAGGTGACGGATGCCATAGTGCCTAACTGGAGCAGCTTCGATGCTCTCGGTGTATGAATGAATCGTGGCAAGCCGATATATTTTATCCTGCTCGAGGATAACATTTTGGGATTTTTTTTATAGTGATCAGATAAAAATTATTAGTAACCACCAACAAAAACAGTAGGTTAAATACCCCGTGAAGAAAAATGTGATAAATAAGATGTCCCTGCATTCAAAATGAGCAGTCCTTGGGAAATCAAATTCGGCACTTTACGCTAAGGTTTTCCTCGCTGTACCCATTTAATAAAGTTGCTTCCAAGCAGATCCGACTGTCCGTGCTACATATACGTCACAGGTCCCTTCTGTTGATGACTTGCTGAGCCGCCACGCGTGCCAAGACTGAATGCCAGGGAAGGCGCGCACCGTCAGCCACTCTTCTTTTTTTTGTTCACGATACCGAACAACCTCATTTTCGTCCAGATATACAAGATGCACGCCTTTCAGTTTCTTTGATAGAACGCTCACCATTGTCCTGGCCGTCTGAATTGCGCTTACTGAACGCTCTCTCAGGTTGTTCAGCGTGGCCTGGTGCTTCACGAGTCCGCCAACTCCGTCACATGCATTTTTCCCATGTCCAGATGCAGAAAATAACCACTGGGCTTGTGGGCAATCGTCCTTTGCAAATTGGTGAAGCTGGTAGCGATTCTTGAAATGACTGGCGGCGCCGTCACTTACGTACGTCACGTACGAGTATACCGCAACGTTGTCTTCAACCCACTCCTTCACTTTTTCTAGAGCCAAGCAAGCGTGAGCGGCGTCGTGACACAGGTCCTCACTGATGATGGCAAAGCTGTTTGTAGATTTTCTTGTCGTCACTACACATGTAAATATCGAAACTTGTTTTTTTATCCAGTGATATGCTTGCACTTCGTCAGGAAGCACGATGGTCCAGTTTTCAGCAAAGTCAAAATGAAAGACAATGCTCCCGCGTTGCATGCACTGTTTTTCATCGTAGATCGCTTTACCTTGCGTTTGCCGGATATGGTTGTGAAGTACCCAACTTCCAACCGTCACTTGGATGACTTTTAGGAAAGTCTCAGGTTCCAAAGTTTTCTTCACAAGGTCGCCGGACTCCCATGTTGCAAGCACAATCTCTTCATCCTCCGGGATATCAAGTTCCTGGAGTGTAAGAAACTGGCCTTTTGGGCAGTGATCACAGTCTCCTTGAAGGTGAAGGCACAGTTCTGTTGCTGGGTCGCACAGAAATGCCGAGTTCATTTCACCAGTGTTGAATGTTGAGCCTGTAACGTTCTCTAGAGCGGCAATACAAAGATAATAATTGGCGCAGCGCACACAAACGCACACTTCCTGGTGTGGAATACATTTTACCCATCTAGGGCGCAACGAATAAAATTTCGTTAGCCCAACGCCGGAATCGGGATGCTTGTCTTTGTATATACGGAAGGCCTCTCGTATTGAGCGTGTCATGAAGCGCTTTGGCACGAACGTTTTCTCTCCGTTGAGCATGACAGAGATGACGTCCTTCTGGTTGGGACTTTGGCGCGAACATTGTAGCTCGTCTTTCGTGAAGTACTCTAGGGCAGCAGACAGGTTCTCAGGGCTCACCTTGCACCTCGTGTAAGGATCCGGCTCATACCACACGCCATGCTTTTCCTTGAGTTTTCGGGATTTACTGATGAGGTACATTGAGGCCTGTGGAATCATCTTTTGAACCTCATTCTTCGTCAGTGTTGACGGCAGGAGTGTAAGCAGTTGACAACGTTCCCGGAGAGAGGTGGCGGTTTCAAAGGCCTGCCGAAAGTTGTCCACCCACTCAGTGCATGTGGAGCATGTTGGTTCGGACGACCCCGATTGTGCGTCCCTGTCGTACGCAATACGTAGCCTTGAGCGTATATTCTTGACAGCAACCTGCTCCAGTTCTGTCTGCTTTCTCTTGACATAGGCAGGCCTGTCCCGACTTCTTACGACGCTTGGTTGTCTCAGCGGCGACACATCTGTAGGTAGTATGCTGCGATTTAGATCTTCAATTGCTTCTTCAGCTGGCACAAATATGTCAGGGCACTGCTCTGAGCTTCGCATCGAGATCTCCTTAGTGATGTGCATGAAGCAATGGTAGCACAGGTAGTCCGTCGCACTCACTTTGGTGGAACAGTCAGGCGGAAGAATTTGCTTCAACGAGTTTAGGTCCAACTCGCCAACACTTCGAAAATTCCGCTGCTTTGGTATAGTCTTTTTGTGTTTGCAAAAGTAATCTGCACAAAACACTCGTTCGGAGCTCCAGGACGTCTTCATAATGTATACATAAATAATAGAAATTAAACCCCAACTGATGGCATATAATTGCCAAGTGAAAGAACTACTGGGTGCACAAGTGACAAGTCCGAGGCTGAGGAGCTCACTCACTGCAAACGTACATTTGAAAAGAGAGGTCACAACTGAGGCTGTCGGCAAAGCATGATCCACGTCAAAGGAAGAAAGAGGGAAAGTCTCCAGACAAAAAATTGTGGTCAGTGGCCTTCGAAAAAGACTTTCCGGAATCGCACTGTCGTCCCTCCACGCGCTGATATGAAAGCACCCGAGCTTCTACCACGTGGTTCATGACACAGCCTGAGCCATGTCGGCGACCGGTTCGCGAGGGGTTGGCGGTGGGGTTACGTTGATGGTCACTCGGATTAGCCCTTGCTGTACTGAGCTACCGCCTGCAGTGCCTTATCGCCGGCTGGTGTCAACAACGAGAACACACACACCCTGTCTACACCAAAACTACAAGCGTTCACCGCACACGCGTCGCCGCCGCTTTTAAGCTTTTGTGAAATTGCTTTCTTTTGCCGCGGAGAACCGCCTTATCTTAACTACGCGCCTGAAATCCTTCCAGGCGGGCGTACACAATATCATGCGTTTCGAGAAATGCCCGTGGAGTAGAACTATGGGAAAATTCGGAGCCCGCGATGTCGATATCGTCGCCGTTGTGTTAGTACGCCGTCGCGTACTGCAGTCCCCCGTTGGGGGAGGGGGGGGGGGGGGGGGCGGTCTTACTACGATAACATGGCGACAGCGTTTACACTCTATGTATTTACGCGAGGCTCGAGTATTTGGGGATAATGCTGCCGGTTGGTGTGCCCCTTTGTGCCTGATATTACCGCCCGTGACGCCAGCGAGTGAGATGGCGACAGGCATGACTGCTCAGTAAACAGGCGTCGGCGGCCATGTTTTGCTGGTTGAAGCGAACCCCCTTGTCCTTGACAGCGAGCGGGGAAATGCGAAAAAAAGATTGTATCGGCCGTTTTGCCAGAACTAGCGACGAGTGTCGTCTGCGGTTTCCGGCAACTATTTTGCCATAATCATGAGCTTAGCGAGGAAATGATTTTTGCTAGCCACAGAACACTACCACGCAGAAAGGGAATGCTTGAACATGTTTTTGTTCTGGATATATATCAGGGATATATATGAGAGAGAGAGAGAGAGAGAGATGAAGGTAGAGCGGAAGAGGGAATAGCATATAGTGTCGCAGGAGAATAAAGTAAACAAAGTTCCTAGTGGCCGATGGCTGCATGATCTTTTCTCGGATCACTAGTCCGTAATATGATACCTCTTTGTACACAGTAGTTTCTCCTTAATTTAAGTGTGTGAACGATTTCTTTAGTTATCATTGGCCTCATCTGAATAAAAATATATAAAAGATGTGTGTTGGTTTCATGAAACTGGAACTCAGAGTCAGTTCTTGTATAAAACACTGCTAAGTGTAGGCTTTGAAAAAGGACCCTACTTTGGGGAGTTGTATCTTCTTTCTCAATAAAATGATGCAACATGTTTTTAATGGAAATGAATGCCGAAATAGAGTATAACAGGTTACCTAAATTTAAAAAAAATCGAGGGTGGTGTTTTTTTTTTTATTCGCATCGGAATTTTTCTTTGTTTGATTTTTTTTCCATGTTTGACTAAATATATCCTAACTATTGTATCACACAGATACCTTAGTTATTTTTTAAATATTAGCTATATATTAGTAGAATAATATCTGCAAATTATATCATAATGATTAAATTATTTCATGAGATACAGACCTCCAAAGTTTGCCATTTGTCGTTCGAGCAGGTATGTTTGTCAATTTTTAGAAAAATAAATAAATTTTAAATAAATATGATTACTTTATATTACAAGCAAGCTATACCCATAGTTTGCGCCTAAAACGTATTAGAGTTCTCCTAATGTTATCGCTTTAGTTATTCACTCTCAAACGAGCCCCCTCCATCAGTGCGCGGTAATGCAACTGTCCACCACCTCATGCCTTACGATTTTTCCTGTCCCCAAGTATTTTTTCTAGTCAAAACTAAGTTTGGATTCGTTCATACCAGACACTAGACAATAACATATAAAAACATCAGTTGATTTGAAAATGTCGACTAGCCATCCTTTGGTCGATCTTATCTGAAATCACCCATATATATATATATATATATATATATATATATATATATATACACGATGGACTGCAGAGGAGCATTCTAGAGTGAAAAGGTTGCACTTTTTTTATTGTTGCTAGTACTTTTAAAATGTTCTTTGAATGCGTTTTTTCTTTATGCACCCCTTTGCATAATGCTTAACGGCGCAGCGGGTATCTTTGTAAAAAAAGTAAAATCCTCCGTAGAGCGCAGAGAGTAACTGGTGTCGGGGTCGCGCCCACCGCCGAAGGCCGCCGCGAGCGGCGTCGGTCGCCACGGGGCGCCTCTCCGCTTGACCCGTCGACCTGGACGGCGTCCTTGCCCTGGGTCAGACCTTCGACGTCCTTGGACTCGTCAGCTCTTCCTGCCGGCCTCCTCGCTCCGGTCCCCGAGGGTTGCCCGGCCCTTTCTCCGGCCGACCAGATCGACCTGGAACAAAGCACCTCGCTGGACGCCCGAACGCATCCTCGCCACTCATTGAACACACTGGAGGACGCTTTCTCAAGAGCCGCTCTCCGTGTCCGGCCCCCGCTTTGTTTCTGCGACGCTGACGGCGACAGCACGCGATAGTCATTTGACGTTCAATTTCATACCATGCCGACATCACACTGACTCTCTGACGTGCGCTTTCAACTGACCAATGCTCCGATAGAAAAAAAAAAAAAAATTAAGTTTTTTTTTGCCGTTGTGAATAAACTACGCTTTGTAGAAAGCCTAAACTCTGTGTAAATGTGACGAAGTACAAAAGTTTAAACGTTACCATAATCAACAAAAAAAAATTTTTTTTTTCTTTTCCCCGAGACTTTTCACGGGGGTTTCCCCTGTGTGAACGCACCGCTAGCAAAAATGAAAAACACGCTATGTCTATCTAGTTTCGCACATCGCCGCAAAATTTCTAGCATTTGCCTTTTTCCCAAAATTTTCCATCGCAACACTGTATTTAAAAATCATATGATTACCCCACCTGTTTGCGTGCGCCTGGATCATTGTCACAAAGTAGGCGTTCCGTTTTGCAACTATAACAAATAGTTTGCCACATATTTATCCCTAGACTTTCGAATTAATACGCCTCGCAAGTGGGCTCATTTTCGCCTTCTGCATGAGAAAGGAAGTAGCGGTGACGTCAGAACGCCGAGCCCTGATTGGCTGATCGCGACCCCCTATCCCCACGTTGTCCGCTCCTTTGCAACGTCGTCTGCTCGCAACATCGTCTGCGTCTGTCTTGCCTTTCCTGCGATTTTCGGAAGTGCAGGTCTTCACGAGCGAGCTCGACTTCGCCTTTCAGAGAGGGCAGACGAAATAACTCGAGCGGTACGTTGTTTTTGTCTAACAACTAGCAGACGCGCATCAAGGAGGGAAGTCAAAGGGCTCACTGGCAAGGTGTCCCGAGGCGCCGAGGTTTGTTTGCTAAGAACCGAGAGGTGAGCGTGTTAGTGTCCGCAAGTTCCCTCCCAAATACTTTTTCCCTCCTATCGTGTACGGCGAGACCCCTCATTCTTTAACGGCGTCGGCGGGTTGGCGCAGTTAACGCCGTCTGCTTTACGTCTGCTAGTCAAAGCGATGGCTGCTTTACCTTTCCTGCGTCTGTCGGAGATTCACCGCTTTTCCACGGCGAGAGTCACCGTTGCCTCGGAAAACAAGGAGATGACAAGAGGAAGAGATTGACCTCTTAATCTAAAATTGAGGTCAGCGATCAAAGCATAAGACGGGAAGAGTTCACAAGCGTCACGCGGACATATTCCATTCAGCACGCCAGCCGGTCGTGGGCAGACGGTCGCCGAGTCGGACTGCCTGCTAGGCCTATCTGCCGCGCTCGCTTGGTCGTTGTCGGTGGAATGGACCTTTTCCGAGAAGCGTTCTGCGCACGCGCGAGCGCCCGATGCCAAGCGGCGGAAGTCGGAACGAAAAATCGAGGAAATTCGGAAGGAGGCTGCATATCAGCGAGTAGAACACGTAACTGCAGCACATATATAATTGTGTTACACAAAAAAAGAACGTCGACGGAAAGGAAAACACGACGTTTCGGTGGACGCCACGGATGTCCTCTTAAAATCGCGTTGGGCAGGCGCCGCTGCTCAGAGAGCGAAGAAACGGGTAGCGTAGCTCCCATTATCGATTGGTGGCGCAGGTAGGTCACTTCCTCGATTTTTAGTTCGTGCAGCCACCGCCTGGTGTCGTCGGTATGTGGAAAAGGTCCATTGTGGCCGTTGGAGCTTTTCCCGGGTGTTTGTGGATCCAGCGTTCTTGTTCGCCGTGGTCTGTTTCAAGTACTTTTTACTTTTTTTTCTTGCTGCTTGAAGTCGGGACTTTTTAGTCTCTAGCCTAGAGACTAAAAAGTCTCTAGGCTAGAGACTTTTTAGTGTTGTGTCGTTCACCCGCAGTCTCGGGGTTTTTTTCAACCATGTGCAATGTACACCAGCTCGTTTGCGCCCTTACTTTTTGTTCGGAATTACGTTTGCACGAGAGCGCGTGCGGTGGACCACCCGGTGGGTCCTCGCGCTCGCGCCGGTATATAGCTTTGGCTGTGGTGCCTGTTGCGTGTAAAACGGTTTATAGACTGCACGAGGCACTGATCGGCGACCTTCGAGCGATCACTTATGATTTTTTTTTTTTTCATTCTTGTTCTCGTCTTTCACGGTCCAGAGGTCATTTTCTATCCCTTCAAAAAAAGTGTTTCTTCTTTTTTTAACACAAAAAACTACCTTCACCTTTTTCTTTCTTGTTGTATATAAAACCGTCAGTTGTGAGTTAGCGCCTGTCCTGTCCACTTCTTCGTCTGTCCTTGTCCTAGCGCTATTTGTAATTTAGCATTCTAAAACGAAATTCTGACAAATAAAAATTCGATAGCATCACCCATCAGCAATCTCTCCCATTTGTGCCCGTCTCCCGCTTCGTTGTTGACACCACCAAAAGGGGTCTAGGACTTTTCGGTGTAGGGGCGTTTAATTCGGTGTAGGACGTTTCGGTGCGGACTTTTTGGTGCACGGACTCTTCGGTGCACGGACTCTTCGGTGTGGAAGTTTTTGGTGCGCGGACATTTCGGTGCACAGACTTTTCGGTGCACGGACATTTCGATGCATCGTCAAAATAAATCGCAGTTTGTTTGTTTGTTTGTTTGTTTTCTTTTTTTAAGTCTAAAGCACTATTTGAGCTAGAAATTATTTGTTTACAGTTTATAATTTTGTAGATTTGGTCGTCCATTTACGGTCACTTACTGATATACGACCTAAGTGACTTTTGTCGGGGGCAGCACCATCCTGCGTGAGGACGTTAGACGTTATGTTTCGTTTTTTTTGTCCGGTGTCTCTTTTCCAACGTACACGCACTAAACGCATCACATCGTGTTCACGCGTTGGTTCGATAGAACCGTTCTCGGAGTCTTCTGCGTAGTCTTTATTATTGGTAATCCGTATAGGAAAGGTCCCAACAGCAAGAGGCTTGAGAATGTTGAAAATTACCCTAGTCAAAGATGGGAAACTTCGTGGAACTTTGAGACGTCCTTGTCGGTCCTGTGTCCTTTTTGTTTCATGACGTTTCCCATCTTTTACTACAGTCTCAGGTCATTTTCAACCCATGATCAACGTCCCCCAACTCGTCTGCACACACACCATTTTTTCGTTCATCTTGAAAAGTTGTTTCTGTACGATAACTAAGAACAATTTGGAATATCTTCGAATGTGCGTCCACCGCGATTATTTAGCACACCTGAAAGGGGAAATTAAAGTTATTCCCATCCGTCACGCGTTGCACGTTTTGTAATATAAATCGAGGCATAAAACACATTGTTAACGTTTGTTGCCAAGCATGGTTCTAGCAGACTCTGAATAAAAACCATTTAAATGAAAAAAAAAAAAAGCTTCTTTGGACAGTTTAGGTAACATCTCTTATCTGTTGTGGATGCTGCTCAGAAATTCATTCAGTAGCGGAAAATAAAGCTGCAGGCCCTCGATATAAAGCTGTTCGATACGAAGCCGCAGCAAAGATATTTTGGGCAAAAGCTTGTATCGGCCTACTAAAACTCATAGGCAACGACCACAACTGAGGGCTCAATTGAACAGACAATAGAAAAGGAAACAGCCGTGTTTATAAAGAAAGACATTGACATCAAGGGGGTTGCAAGTGGTCCATTGACGACCCCACCCCACTTTCAAAACGACAACAATGTTCTTTCTTGATCGGCGTAGTTGTTCCAAACCCGAAACCACTTCATTTCCAGGGCATTAGGGAGGTCTTCACAATCACAACAATGATTTTAACATTCTTTGCAAACTAGCGAAAAAAACTCTCGCGATCGTCATGCACGCTGTCGTCGAGATGGCCGTTTCCGGTCCGTCAAGCACACGAAAGCAGCTATCGAACCCCCACCATAGAACTTGTCATTCGCAAGTGACGATAAGTTTCGTCAGGGCACTCATTGGCCACAAACGCGAATCCAGATATTCGTCGACGGATTGATTGCTGACGAGCGCATACGTGCGAGTGACGCCGTTCTCGTGTTCAATGCCTGGGCTGGGGTCGGCTGACGTTATTTTGACGCCGCTGACGTGCTTTGAGTACCGCAGATGTATCCTAATGAAAAGGCGGAGAGTTTTCGAAAGAAAGGAGGTACGAATACGAAATAGTTGAATGTTCATACAAGGCTGGCTTTCGACTTTTTACCCTCTTTCTTTTGTCCCACAGGGCGATATGCGATTACTTTTCTACAATCTGGACTCTACAAGTGCACATTAAACAAACTAAATAGTTGTAAGAAATCAAGTAATTAAATTAAATTCACGTCTAAACAAACACTTTTTTTATTTTTCGGCTATGGGCGGCCGGTTGTCGGAGCAAATATCTCGGCATCTGGGGACGCCTTCCGTTTGCACGAAAACCCGGTTTGCACGAAAATCGGTGAGTACTTGTCACTTGAGTACTATTGGCACGGAAGTACTAGACTGTTTCACTCTAAAGGCTCTTCACACACTTGCGACCGCTTACGACCGGAGTGTCGTAAAACTTATTTTACGACACTCCGAAACTTATTTTACGACACTCCGGTCGTAAGCGGTCCCAAGTTTACCGGAAGTAAAACTTAACTTACTTCCATTGCTTCCTTACTGTTCGAAACTGCTAGAGCATATTATTTTTAAACACCTCGCGAATTACTTAGAAAACAATGTTTTTTTGTTTGTTTGTTTTTTTCTTTTCAAATCAACATGGTTTCCGTCATGGCCTTTCTGCTACGACAGTTACTTGAAACAGTCCATGATTTCGCAAATATCTTGAATCGATCCAAACAAATTGACGTCATATTCCTAGATCTTTCTAAAGCTTTTGATAGAGTATCACATAGTAAACTTCTCCTTAAACTTAAATCAAATGTTCAAAACGAAGGTATCCCTTCGTTTTGAACTACTCGAGAAGTACTTACAGGACAGAAAACAATG